GTAGTGTCATAACCAATGCACAATTCAATGCACAATCTTCCTGTGTTTGTCATCATTCAGTTATTTTAATTATTGAATTATAAATACAGCCTGTTCATAAATGCTGTGCATGCTATTTACTGAAATGTTGTCCGGTCAAAAATGTTCACAACTCCATTACTTATCTGTGGCAAACCAAACTGGATTGAATTTGTTATATTCTAACTGTTGGTGAGTACAGGGCAGGGAAATTGACATGAAGTAGAGTTACCTACAAAACGCATTTTTACATTAATAATACAGAACACTACTGTGCTAGTTGTATGTGATTAAATATTGGGTCGTGGTCTATTCTTTTAAAGGAAAGCAGAGGTCTGGCTTTTTTGTTGTTTTCATCGCCAGAATTCATTCATATATCTCAAATTTCATGTACGGAGTGATGAAAGCCAGACCTCTGCTCCCCTTTAAGTCTGTTTGTTTTGAAATAGTCCTGGCATAGTCAATTTGAACTGTATGAGACAAAAAAATTATTTCTTATATTACTGATACCAAAAATTGTTGCAGTTAATATTTTCTAGTGTGTCGAGTGATGATTAGACAAATACATTTGACAGTCGTATTAACCATAAACATGATAGGTCTGGCATTGACCTTGCAGATTGAATGTAAAACTGCAATGTTTTGAATGGTACTGGGTGATGTATTTAATAGTGTGATTCATTCATTCATTCATTATTTGTTTTTCCCTGCAGCCTGACACTAAGTTAACAAATATGACTCGTGTAAGAGCTCTAAGATGTTTATTTGCTTTGGTTCATGGTGAAATAATTGAAAAGCTGTCATCTAGATCAATATCAGATCTCAGGTGAGACTCATTCTGACAAAATATAGTGTTTGGGAAAGAATGTTCATTGCTATTTACGTCAGGGGAGATTTTGTACTGAACTTTCTACATAATTCTACTTGCTATATCAAAATTTCATTTTAAAATTGTGATATTTCTTAAGAACTTATTGGTTCACTAAAGCTCCAGTCACTGCACATACACATACACATTAATTTCACAAGCTGAACATTATGTCTGATCAAGCATTCCTGACATTTTGAAGACTGATTTCAATCAAATTTGTTACTTTTATAAAACATGATGAGGTAATGATTCACATCATCATTATGTCATTACATGATGGGAATCTATGTGATTATATGTACACAGGGATGACTTACAGAAGTTACTATACATAGGAGATTTAGAAGCTTTGAATATATCCCAGACAATCTTAGAATTCACTAAATGTAATAAAGAAGGCCTTGTAAGAGGATTATGGACAAATCATAACCATGAGCCAAAGGTATGTTCCATTCAATCATCATCATCATCATCTGTCATTTAATCTGATACCATCATAACATACAGTTATGATACTATAGAGTTTCAATCATTTTTACAGATGAAAATGAAAAATGGTTAACTGTGAGTAGAAACCACTAGACAACTTGCTTTGTCTGTAGACTTGCTTAGAAATAAAAAAAAAGGCCCAGTAAACCAAGTCATTTCAATCATATTATTTTGATAGACATTCACAGCTCATTATTTCAGATCGAATAAATAAATATCAAATAAATATTGTTATGATACTGTTGTGTTCATCCTCAGGCTGTCAAGTTAATAACTGATCTATGCATTGATTATGAAATACATGATATACAGTTATGGAATAGTTTATTACAACAGTTAATGGCATTTAATATGGTAAGAAATTTTATTATGTCTTGTATTTGCATATTGAAAGCTGATCTCCAATAGAAATATGTGATCAAAACAAAATTTCAGTTATTTATTTTCATTCATTTGCTGAAATTAAACTCTACAACAAAAAATTAAAAAGAATGGTGTAAAATGTGTTTTGATGTATTTACAATATGAACTTATAGTATTGTTGTGAGAATACCACATGTAAAACTACAACTGGAGTATTCTACGTGGTTGATGGTTTTGATACAATTTTGTGTTACCGAAATTAAAACAAACTGAAAATATCCCATAATTCTTTGTAGGCTCAGTAACATGCTCATTAGATTATTCAAAATTGATATTATCTGTATTACTGTCAAACCATTTATTTTCACTGACATTTAATTTCACTATCTTGATGTTTTGAGCATATTCACTGTGTTTAATTTCACAAATTTGTCAAGGAAACAATGAGTTTTATTGTTATTTTACATTTATCAGCGAAAATAGCGAAATTATAACAGTATTTTGTTTATAGTATCTTACTCATTATTTTCATGTAGATCAATTATTTGCGACACATCTTGGTTCGTATATCGGGAGTTTGTCATCTGTGGCATATATCATCATTATTGAGAGCTTGGAAATCTGTACTCTTGCAACCCTTAACCACAGGTCAGAAAAATATAATATATTTGTGTATATAGTTTTTAGTTCTATGTCAGATATTTCCAGATTTTCTGATATAGAATTTGTAGGCATCACTATTGATTATTAATGTTTTAAGGCATAGTTATTATTTATTAAATTCATTAATTATTATACTAAATCATACAAATGAAGTGAAATATGCATTTGCTTTATATAATGTTGGTTATTAGTGATATTGCGGTGTAATATTAAAATAATACGTTTGTTTTCAGTCTGCCAACCACTGAGTGATGAACAAGAAAAGCAGTGTCATCAGTCACTGTTACTTATGACTAGGTATGTTAACTTCTACCTGAATAAAATATGCTTTTATTTAGTACTTCTGTCTACAACTTCTCAACCAATAAGGATTTACAAAACTCTTGCTAGACTTGAGAGGAACTGTTCAGGAACATTATTCAGGCCTCATTATAAACCTTACATTGAGACTGTGAACTATATATTTGTAAACATTAATACATTTGGGTCACAATAAATTATTATTGAGGTATTTCTTCTTTTTTTAGGTGTCCATTGATATCTGATATGGATATGATTGGATTCTCTAAACAGTTTCTACGACAACAGATGATGGCACATGCACTGGCATGTTTACTAATCATACCAGATGTGAAGAAGAAAGAACAACAAATTAAGGTAATATAAAAATTAAACTCTACAATAAATTAGTGTGATTTCTGTAGATGAGATAGTGCTATTAAAATCATGCATCTGCTGACAATTTAATGCAGCAATAGCTATAACTATCAATCTTTTTTCTTTGATTGATAAAACATCATCATTATAGTGTCAATTTGTAATGGCCATCACTAAAATGTGAACACTGAATATACGCTACATACCATCGTTGCACATTAAATCACTTGCAAGTGAAAAAGATGGCCGCAGGGTTGCGTCCAGTTCTCCAGAGGGCGCCAAATCCAGTTTTAGAAAGCATACCTCAAGGATTACAGTACAAGATAACTTACTGGGGCCTTTGAGTGAAATGAGAATTATGTTTCCATTCTGAGAGGCTAATTCTCTCACTGATGATTTTATGTGTCATGTGTCATGTGTCAGGCCACTTGAAATGAAATGGAAACTCATTGATCCTTAGTTTTCATATCGCATTTTATGTGACATTAGCCTTGAAAATTTGCTCATGCAATTGTGTCTAAAGCAATATTTTGGTAAGATTTTTATGTTGTTATTTTTAAAGTGGGGAGAGGTGTCATCACCTGCGCATGTGGCAGATTGTGGAATTATGAGTGTAATTTTAAAAGCTTGGATACAATATGCACCCCGAAATGTTGAATCTCTGCTCAAATGCAATACACTATTCTTCTCCTTTGTTTTCTTCTGCCAGGCATTATTCAGTGTTGATGGTTGCCATGCACTAATTTTAGATCAAATTGCAAATCTAACCATGAAGAGAATGCTGTTGCCACAAGCAGAACAGGTAAGCTGGCTCTAAACTGTACTTCCTGTAATTTATCATTTCATTGATGGCAAACTAGTATTGTGATTTGAATTTCTAACACTTTATATTTACAATAAATATTATTTTGTTGAGAACAATTCAGACAATAACAAGAATCTGAAAAGACATTGTTTCGATGATGATAGTAGTATATTGTGTTAGTAGTGCAGTACATGTATGTACACAGCTATAGTTTTTGGATTATATGTTATTTGACACTTTTACCTAATAATTTAATTACTTGTTAACTGAATACTGGATGTCTATGTCATTCCTCTAACAAGCTATTTGTTCCATCTGTGCTATTTGTTTTTTAGATTCAGGGTGCAGTATTTGAGAATATAATTGAGACTGATAACTATGAATTATTACTATGTACCAGTCACAGTCATCAGTTTAAACACTACCTTGCTAGAAATCAAAAGATCAGTACACTGTTACTGACTCTGCTAAAAACATCCCGGTAAGAAATCCGCATATTTGTTTGGGATATTGTAGAAATATAGTAAATTCAATTGATGAACTTTAGTTCATGTTTAAGGGTATTATATTATTTCTCAAACATGCTTTGACAGTTTTTTTGCAAACACAAGACATATTAGTATACATTTGTGTACAAGTACACTTGTTCTTTTATTATGTCGACTTTCTGACTGTCTGTCTGCCTCTCCAATAACATCATTTCAATTTTCAGCATTGACTTCATTATTGATGGGTTACTGATGCACGTTATTTTAAAATGTAACTAGCTGGCAGTAATTTTTGCCTGAACGTGTCAGTCTTTTCTCATGCATACCTTGGTATGATCTTAACACATGATAAGTTACTGATATGCACTCATTGTTAAGTGATTTGATTCTAATTAACAAGATATAATGGATTCCCTGTGCATGCCAGTTTGTTTGGATGAAATTTCTATGACAACCCACTTTTGTGTCCTCAAATTACAATTCAATTTTGTCATCTAATAAAATTTGTGACAAAACAGGATATTTACAGAATAATCCAGTATATTTGCACTTATCACACCCTTTATATATACCGGTCGGTACACACCATTGTTTTTATAGATATGAAGAGAGTTTAAAGCTAATAGAATTGTATTATCAATATAATCCAGAGATTTTACCAGCTAACCAACCTGCCACTATGGTTGAAAAAGACAGAAAAAAAAAACTACATGTGAGTCAATTTAAAATTTTTGTGCTTGTCATGCCTTTGATGGTCAGAAAGAAAAACAATGTAACCAGAATATGTCATCAATCGATATAGGTCTGGACCAATTGTATTCAAACTGGTGGGTTACTGATGCATATCAATTTATTTCATAATCTGATTGGACTACAGGTGGCCTTGTTATATCTTGAATGCTTGACGTACCAATTATTTTCAAAGTTAGTGCAAAGACAAAAAAATAATGGTATGCATATGGATACTGACTTGTGTCCATCACAATAACATTTGAACATGTCATAAACTACTTCTCATATGTCAGTATGGACATAACACATGGTTTTGATACATGTGAAGTCATGCTCGATTTACCATTTCTCATACATAATTTGACAGGTTATGGTTGGTATGGTTAACAATTTTCTTGATTCGGTGGATAGGAAGTTGTCATGCTGAATACTTTTAATTATATTTTAATATTTAATTATAATCTCTACGTTTTATTGTTTATAATTCACACAGTCACTAAAACCTGTCATTGACAAAGATTTATTTTTAGTCCCCGTTCGGACGTAGTCCGAAAACGGGGATTTATGTTTTGCCCTGTGTGTGTCCGTGATCACCTGTATCTCAAACATGCATGGTTCAAACTTCACTCATACATCACACATTATATGGGTCATGTGCACATGGATTTTTTTCATGATCCGATTAACGATAGCCGTATAGCGGCCATTTTAATGCCGAAAATGCATCAAAATCGCACATTTTCACCATTCCGGACCCGGATCTCAGTATGCATGGACGGATTTTGTTCAAATTTGGTACATACATTAAACATAATAGGACCTTGATGCACGTCATTTTTTTTTTTTGGGATCAAGTTAGAAATGGCCGACTGGCGGCCATTTTGTTTTAAAGAATTCAGTTCTGGATCTGTATCCGAGACATGTCTGGATTGATCAAGTTCAAACTTTACACACACATGGTACATCATGTCACAAATAGATATGCATCAAAATCGCAAATTTTCACAATTCCGGAACCGGATCTCAGTCATGCATGGATGGATTTTGCTCAGATTTAGTACAATGTGTTGTACATATGCAGGTGCATTTCGGATCAGACCACTGAAAGTAGTCTGAGATTTTGCTCTTGATCTGCTTTGAATGTATATGTCACTCAAATATGAACGGAACGGGGACGTGTCATTGACAATGACTTGTCCCTAAAAGGAGTTGAAACTGTAACTTCACAAAATACTGAAAATTGTTAAGGTGGAATTCTATGTTTAGAATGACTTTTTTTTCTTTCAGATGTACTTAGAATCCCATGGTTTGATGAAAACAGTGGAGGACATCCTTGTGGAATTTAAGTAGAGAATCAACATGTGCCTTACTCTATTACCACAGTTTTAAATACATGTACAAAGAATGTAATTATACAGTATCTTTAATCAATGCATAGCGCAACCAAAATATTTTCAACTTACATAATGTTTTTAGTAAAATAAATATTTACATGCAATCACTGTGCTATCTATCCTGATCTGGAAACCCTTATTGTTTTAGATGTGAATCAGCTAGATTAATGGCAACCTACCAAACACTTGTTTTGGTCGAGATTTTAACATAACACATTATGAAAGTGTATTAGTTATTGTGCACCATGTTTCATGGATCATATCACAGATGGTATAACTTCCAGAATACGGAAAGTTTTAACAGTTTATTTTTCCTGCTATGAGCAATTGGTACAATAGACTGGATATTGTTTTCAGACTAGGCACAGAGAGACTGTAATGCAATATATATTACTGAAAATATCTTGTAAATAAACAATTCTACATGCTTACTAAATATTTTGTATTCATTGTTTGAGATGTTCGGACAAAATGTTTTATTGATTTAGACCTTAACAGTTGAAAATTATTTGCTGATTTTTTTGCATACACCTTATATGAAATAAAATTGTATGCTGGTGTTTAAATGTAAAACGCTCATACGATTCAAGAACTAACTATTTTCATATATTGAATCCAAATCTACAAGTCCCACTTGAAAATCTTTGAGCTTTGGCTCGTCGGGAATGAAAGTGCCCAAGTTAAAAAACAACCAGCACTAGATCAGTTGATTTTGTGTCTACTGAAAATATCTACAGCAGGCTCTCTATCAGATGAACTACCTTAACAAATGATTTAATAAACAAAAATAAGCTAAATATTCTGCCAATATATCTTCCGTAACTCTGATACCGTATTATGTAAATTGTTGAATTTTACAGTCATAGCTCAGGTTATGTCATGGCAAGATATTTGGTTAACCATCACACAATAGTACAAGTAGAACTGGCATTTTTTCTTTGTATACTGACTGAAGATATCTCTGTGTCTCCAGATTTGACTATTGTAGATTCTGTCTTATTAGATATATCACTCACAGTCAGTCTCCGATTTCTGTTTATTTGAGCTATTTGATTTATGCTCAGCTCTGCTGTGGAGTTCATCCTGTCCAATGTTGCATGTTGACGTACAGCATGCGATCTCCCTGAAAAGCTCATTGAGGAGTTGCCAGATATATCTACAGTTGAGTGTCGATGATTCAGCTGTCCAATTGTTACTTCCAGTTGAGTTTCCAAATGTTTTATTTTCTGTTCTTTCTTCCTCCTGTCAAGTTGTAGTTCAAGAAGCTGTGGAAATAGATTAGAAATAAGATATTAATTAGTTTTGTGTACACTAATTTTGACAGCAAGACTCTTAACCTTTTCACCACCTTGGCCGAATTTTTCTGCACTTTCTTCAATATTTTTGGAAAAGTAACCAAATTTTGGAGCCAAAATGAGTCAATTTCCAGTTTTTACTCAAAGAATTTGGCCATTTTTGTCCCAATCTTTGAAGGAAAGTGCAGATTATAAACTGAACTACTTTTTTAATTTTTCATGTTTGTGGCTCTTTTAGTCATTCCCGCTATCATGTACAAATTCACTTTTTTAGCTCCGCTGTCGACTTTGTCGAGCGGAGCTTATCATATGAGTGATTGTCCGTCGTTGTCAGTCGTCCGTGTCAATGTTTTACTTTTTCGACTTCTTCTTGAAAACTACAAGCCTGAATGCTTTGATACTTGGTGTATATGTACCTTGGGTAGACCTCTCTTAGGTTTGTTCATTTCATGTCGATATCTTCAATTCTCTAATTTTGGTGAATATTTTTGTTTTCGACTTCTTGTTAAAAAGTTTAAGTCCGATTGCTTTGATATTACATATATAGGTACTACATGTGGACCTCTCTCAGATTTGTTCATTTTGTGATGATATCTTCAATTCTCTAATTTTGGTGAATATTTCTCAGATTTGTTCATTTTGTGATGATATCTTCAATTCTTTAATTTTGGTGAATATTTTTGTCATTTTTGGTAAAAAGTGATATTTTCGACTTTTTGTTAAAAAGTGTAAGTCCGATTGCTTTGATATTACATATATAGGTACTACATGTGGACCTCTCTCATATTTGTTCATTTTGTGATATCTTCATTTCTCTAATTTTGGTGAATATTTTTGTAATTTTTGGTAAAAAGTGATATTTTCGACTTCTTGTTAAAAACCAAAAGTTCAATTACTTTTATATTACATATATAGATACTACATGTAGACCTTTCTCAGATTTGTTCATTTTGTGATGATATCTTCAATTCTCTAATTTTGGTGAATATTTTTGTCATTTTTGGTAGAAAGTGATATTTTCGACTTCTTGTTAAAAACTGTAAATCCGATTGCTTTGATACTATACATATTGTTCATTTTCTAATGATGTCTTCAGTTCTTTAATTGAAATGTGCATTGCTAACAGCGGAGCTATTTCAGCTGACAGGCTGCTTGTTTAGTGCTCTGACTGGACACTGTCTGGGAGCTTATTATGGGTTGGGTTCGTTGCAATTATCTAAGAAGTTCATGGCTTGGTTTTCCCTAAACTTAGTACACAGTTTACATATGCCCCAGATTTTTTTTTCAAATAGAAAATGGCCGACTGGCGATGATGTTTGATTCAGAAATAGCCTAAAAATCTCAATTTTATAGGTGTAGAACACCTGTTGGCATACTCAGGTCAAAATTGACCGACTGGTAGTTATTTTTGCTTATAACTTTATGACAAAAATCTGTAATTTTCATCTTTTTCTTGCACATTTTGACTCAAATTCATGCAGTCCAAACTTGGTTCTCAGACAATTGTTTGCTAGCATCTGTGTTTGTGATATAATCCAATCCCAGATCCCATATGACAATTCCACATCATATATGACCAAATCAACTCCGACAATCATAAAGCCAGTTGCTAACAGCGAAGCTATCTCAGCTGATAGGCTGCTTGTTTTAAGTTATTCTGACAACCAAATGAGTTAGCTTACTTCTTGTTTGACGTTCTCCAGTTCTGCAGTCCTCTCCATGATGGTTTGTTCAGCTGTTTTTAAATCACCTTGAAGTTTGCGAATGTTTGCCTTCAGTATGTAGTCCTCGTCTTGCGAGGTGAACTCCAACAATCTTAATAAAGAATTTAATAAAAAACTTTAACAATTTTGTTGGGTTTGTAGTTTTAATACCTTGCTGACAAGTCTTTATTAGCTTACATTACCGGGTATACTACAAATAAATAGTTACACACATGCATGAATTGACAAATCTTATAGAAAAGTGCATACCTACTGCCCCGTCTTAATCTGGGTGTCAGCATAATTGAAAACAAGACACTAATATTAATAAAAAACAAATACACATTGACTGCGGTGAAAAAAAGTTTCACCTATTGTTACTGTTCAGTGATTCATTGAAAGATGGCACAGTGCTACAAAGTGAAAGATATGATTACATATATAGGTCTATAGAGAGTACATGTCTTCACATGCATAAATGTAAGGTGAATTCAGAGATGATATTTTACATGAAGGTACCTTTGTCTTTGTGAAGCTGGCATGACATTGTCTGTATTAACACCAGAATTAGATAACTGTGTTTTGTTCATCTCAAGCTCTCTCTGTAAATTATCCAATTCCTTTAAAAAATAATAAAAATGTGTACTATCCTTTCACATGGCGTATGTACATGACTAAATTTCTTGACATTTGTCCTAGTTTACATTGCTGATTACAAGCAGAATGATGTGCAGAAAGATGGCTTACCTCGTCCAGTTGAATCAAATCAGATTCTTTACTATTGACCATGGCTTGTCTTCTATCCAAATACTTTTCAGCATCTTCAATCTAAAAGAAAATATTAACTTGAGTAGGAACCAAACATATAAGTTGGGTCATTACTTATCTCGTATCTCTGTTTTGAAGGCAGACTGTTTTGTGCCTTTTTTGAAAGTTACTGATTTATTTTAGTATGTAGTAGTACGACATAAATTTTGAAATAAGATCACTTGCATAACAACCCATTGCACAGATACATCTGATAAAAATCAAGAGAATAATGATTGGTCTTGAATGCACACTAGCGACCGGTGCTAATTTAATTGACACATGTATGGAACTTATGTAGCGACAACTTGAAAAATGCTGTCTTAACCAACCTCTTTTTGATATTCTTGACAATTTTGAAATCTTTTCTGTAATTCTTCTTCTAAACTAGTAAGTTCATCACATGCAGTGTGTAATGTATCTAACTTTTCTTCATTGTTCATTGTAGCACCATGCCTGTGTAAAATTTTATCTTCCTGTTTGGCAATCTGGTACAAATACAAATATATTGAACACATGAATTCATTTTTGTATAGTGAAAAATTATTTTTAATAGAAATATTCCATACAAAATATCCAAAAAGACTTTTCAGCGAAGTTAAAAGTATTTTACAGTATATTCATGACTTAATTAATGTTGACAAGCAGTCTCTATGTACCTAATACTAATTGACAGCAATGTGATAATAACAAAAATATAATGTTTTTATTGTTACATCGTTATCGATTAAGCTTGTTTTAAATAATCAATATTTGTATGATTGTCGTCGTGCCATAATATTAGTCAAAAATTGCCTAAATCTTTAACATTTTAAATTGCATTACAATTAAAGTGCATGACTGTTCTTTTTAAATACTGTGAGGCCATTTTGTCAAGATTTGTCAAGCACTAAATTGAAACTCCATAGAAGAGCTTTTTTTATTCTTAATGAATTTTTCTTTTTAATCATTTCATAAGAAAAATGGTTCATTGCAAATGCAGAATAGCTTATAATTTTCACCCCCCCCCCCCCACGGTTTAAATGTTTAGCTTTTAAATATCTGATGAAGATACAATCTTATTTGTAACCAAGTCATGAACAATGTAAACAATGCTTATAATGGTTCAATAGGAATATATTGAATTTTCAAGCTGACAATAAATTACAGACTCATTAATAACACAACAATGGCATTTTCTTTGTCTCCTTGTATTGCAGTTGTATGCAGGAATTTACACTGCTATGAACACAATTGAAAACTGTCAACCAAGCAATAAAATAGTTCATGGCTACCACAGAGAATTTAATGAATCAAATATATTTGAACTTAAACTATCCTAATTTGTGCTTCAAACCAAAAATACTTAAAGAAAAGTGTCTGATTTGTATTGACAACTCTTAAAGTTTTGTGAGATACTAGCGATGTGTAACAAGTGCTACTTTTGAAGCATTTCATTTTTTGTATCTGAAGCAAGTTGCATCAATGCTGAATATATAATTACTTATATTGAAAGCGTTTTAAAATAGAAGACTGAGAAGTATTGTCTGTCCTTGTGACATGAACACTATCGTCAACAAGCTCTAGTGGGAAATAACTGTATATTCTAATCTAATTGTGTAATCAATGAATCAATTCTATATTCACCTGTACTTTATCATCTTCCATCATTTCATTTCCACCATCAGCTGTAGTTACAGATTCCTGCTCTACTTCAATACTTGATTTTAATTTTTCTGCCTTTCTCTTTTTTTTCTTGAGTTTGTTATTATTAATAACTCTGCTGCAGGCTTGATGCAGGCCATCCTCTCCCATTCTGCTAATTACTGGATCTATAGCATCTTTGACATGGTCTGAAGTATTACCATTTTCCCTTTCCTTGTGTTTTTTCTTCTTTTTAATCTTTTTAGTGGGTTTCATTTCCTCATTATCATATCCATTTACATAGTAAACAATATTTCCACGAATTTTCTCTTTTCCTTCTTCATCTTTTTTATGACTTTTCATCTTTAAGTGATGCGTTTATGATTTTGAAGTCATCTTTAGTAGTTTTTTTACAATTACAAGCACAATTATTTTGTTTATTTATAATCTGAAATAAAGTGTGATGGGATTTAGTTAATCACTTTTAAAATGTAAAAAAAAAATGCCTGCACAATCACTTTGTTGTAAATTTGTTTTGTAAGTTTTCTGTCACTTTCTTTCAATTCAGTGTTTATTTTGAACAAAACAGATAGTTTCAATCAGGCATGAATGTGTTTTCTTTACAGAAATTTATGAAATATTTATGCCTGCATTTACGGTATGCATTAGCTAATTTTTTTGTTTAAATATAACCACATAGACTTGACCCAATCTTACTGAAATATTGTTTTCGACACAATTACATGGGCAAAGTGACTAAACACAAGTCTAATGTGAAAATTAAACATTGAGTACGGTAGTCGCCTTTCCTTGAAATCGGTAACATGACCCTCGAAAACTATGATGCATAATGCACACTATTATGGAAAATGTTGCATAAAATAATGAGAGCCACAACCTCTCAAGATGGCGACATATTTAACATTTCGTCCAAGTCCTCTGTATTTTGCCATCTAATACCGCAATTCCTGAGGTGTACTGGATTTTAATAGATGGCAACTTCTGGAGTCCTGAACGCAACCCTGCGGCCATCGACTCACAAGAGATTTAATTTACAATGTCAGTATATAGCATATATGCTATGCTTGAAAATTCCACATTTTGGCACTAATGACACATAACATTTTGTTTATTAAAAATCATAGAAAAAATGATCGATAGTTTTACAGCTATTGTCTTTTCAATCAAAACTATATTTTGAATTGGCAATAACAATGTAATAACACAAAATGTATATGGAGACTATGGTGAACACCAACTTGGGTATTTTCATGAAACCTATGGAAGGTGTCACCTTTGACACTTGTGTAAAAAAGTGGAGGCCACTGATTGGATGGTACCTATGAGTATGTGTAGTGGCACAGGACTTGTTTGAACTGCATTGCTGTATGGAGTCCGCTGATATGCATATTATTGTGCAGTGACTAGTGTCATGAACTCTTATTCTATGCAGGCATTCGATGGTCTATTTTCAACTGTTATTTAAAATTTTTAAAACATTATAAATATTGTATATAAAAACCATTCATGCCTATATGAAATAGTCTACATGATAATGCCTTTATTTAAAATATTAAATATATATTCAACATATACGTTTGGAACTAGACTACTGTTAATGTGATAGTGCTGTCAAAATCAATCAGTTTGTTTAACAAGGATTTATGCAGTCATCAAAAAATGTTAAAAAAGTCATTAAAAAAATTAAAATTATATATATCAAAACATGTGCAACAAATGCAATATTCTTTCAAATTGCTATAATTATTTAAAAAACAAAATTCTCAAAGTGGAATTTTTAATGTTTACACCAGAATATATTATGTATATATTAACACTATGAGAATGCAGTGTACTTTTAATTTACCTAACAATTCTGATTTCACAAGGGGAGACTGATAGTCACTGCATTATGGACAATTTATGCACAAATGTCTGTCTGTATTCACTTCAATTGAACTTTTCATTTATTTATTTCAAAAATTCTGTAAAGCATATACTTCAAGTGTTCATGGATTAACAATGAATGGTGATTTTATCATGGCGTTTTTTAAACCTAATATAGCTGAATGAAATTAGAGGCCTTTTTGCTGCCGGCTGTGTTGACAGAATAATAAACAAAGGAAACTGCTGTGGGCAGTTACTTTAAGGAGCCCAGTACAAACAAGTTTATAGTAAATTCATTATTTGTTATGCTGAACTAAGCTACCTGTTTTATAGTATACAGCTTGGCAAACAAGCATTTTCAAAACTTGGGTCAACTGAAAACTACTGTATGAAAAGTTTAGAGGGAATGTAATAAAGCTATTAATATTATGATACCGACCTTTTATAATTGGGTGTCATGGCATACAGGTTACCAACACTGGCTTATTTTATAGACTGGTACAATAATAGTAATAAGTACCTGTGAATTAAGTTAATTACTCCCCTACAGTCAGATTCGTGTTGTGCCTTTCATATTGTTTGTAATTGTTGTGTGTGATTCAAACAAACACCATGGCTACATTGCTCCTACATGTGTACTCTATAGCTATGTTTTACTGTACTGAATGCAACACGTTTCTTGTTATTATGTAAGTATGCCAGGATAATGACACCAAAACATTCTGTACGTGTCTAGAGTTACAAGAGATAAATTGCACAATATTGAAAAATCATTGATCAAGTGAAACTGAAAATTAGTAACAATTGTATGAGATTCTATTGTAACATGCTTACCTTTCATCAAGCAGATTTCACAATGTTGCAGTGTGTATGATGCTATTGTTCTGATAATACACACTTGTGGATTCATCTCACATCAACAGGTGTATGTACTCATATCTATATTTACATACTCGCGCTCTCACTGATGAAATTGGTCAACACTCATGCAACCTTGTGTAACATGGTTATATGCTTCGGTACCCAACAAGAACAGTGAACACATTAAATATCCTGAATACATGTACTATTGAAAGCAAGATTGAGCAAACAATGTAATGTAAATACGTGGAAGATTTTCTTTCTCATTCAAATGAGCAATTGAGGTGAACAACTTTGATACAGATGTAAATATCGCTTGTTTTCCTAACAATAGAAAATCACCTCATTGTTTGGGTGGACTTGTGCCAGTAGTAGAAGCCATCACCATGGAAATGAATGACCTCTGATCTTAAGAGAAATCACCACAGAGAAAGATTTCAATCTTGGATTATAGACCCTATAAGGTTTGTGATTACCAAGCTGAGCAATACATTATCTAGCTTTTGAATTACCCACTAAAACTACATGTTTGAATATCGTATCAAGATCAATATTTATATATTTGGGAGGTACATATTAATTACTTTTCCAGTCGTTTGATTGGAGCATGAACAAAATCTGTAGCTATATCACATGCTTTACACAATTAAAGAGCAGGACTCGATAGAGGGCTAAGCGTCCAAGTTAGGTTCGGAAAATAGCACCCTCCAGGTGCCAACCTGAGGGGTCAAGTATCCCCTATCTCCAGTTCTATTTTTTTTCATCACTTGGTAGTGATGGAAGGCAGGTGAGGGTAAGGTAAATATGACTTCACTATGTAACATTTCAAATTATCCCTGAGGGAAATTTGTATAGTCTACTAGTTCATTTATACTATACCTTACCTAAATCCATTGGATTAACTCATTTGGCAGCATACCCAGGTGGTGTGTGATCTGCCGGGGATTCAAGCCATTAGTGCCAAGCAAACTTAAAATGGCTAACTCTGAATAAAACATGAGCTACATAATTGTATTGAACTGGAATAGTAGTCTCTTTAAAATATGTATAATGGGATGTAGTTGGATTGAAACATAAATGGTAGTAGTGTCGATTTGAAGTAAAATGCTGAGCACAAAAAAAATATTTTCACTTATTTGATTTATAACAAGTCGTTGTGATCTGACATATCAATTTGATGCTGATGAAGTCATTGAGATTAGATTGAAACCATTAATAGGAGATGGATTTGTAAAAAATTATGATTTAGTGCTTTTACACGAGAATTGGACATTGGGCAGTCATATTGAATCAAATTACAAAAATAATGTTCATGTTTATGTATCTATTGGTATACTGCCTTTGTACAAAATTTAAATAGAAATGTTAATTGCATTCATGGGAAAGTAGGCATGGGTATCATGAAAAACAAAATGGCCACCAGTCAGCCATATTAGTTTGAATCACAGAAAAAATATGACATGCAACTATAACCCAATACCAGTACTGTTGACTAAGACTTTAATTATAGAGAGATTTAAACACAAAATATTATTACTGCTATATGCTCGCATGTAAAAACCTAAATACTAGAAAAACAAATTCTTTAACCGAGAGTAAGTTGGGGAAATGTGTTTTTGGAAATTGTGAACTAAGACTGAAAATTTCCACTGAATAACCAAGCATTATTTTTTTCTCTGCGGCACTGTTTTTCTCCTGCAAACTGACCGCATACGCGCTGGCTAACAGGGCCCATATAGGTTTGTTAATGAAAACATTCTGTGTCTTTTAAAATCTTGCGGCTGAAACAATTCTATCATGACACCCACCAATAATGGTGAGCCCCCCCCCCCCCCAAAAAAAAACAACATAGAGGTGGCACTTCATCACTGTGTGGGGCCCATGGCCATGTGACGACTGCGCATCTTCATCGGTTCTTCAACCAGATTTTTGACCCTCTTGTTTTTCCAGAAGGATAATCTTAAACACAGCCTCACACTTGACTAAAGGAAAGGGCATTCCCAATGAAGGCTCTTTTCGGGTCAATCAACAGCATCTGCGGTTCCTGGTAATCACCAGGTCTCCAGCGGGTGTCATCTATTAAAATGCAGTTTTGTCAAGTGAACCTTGTGGAACTATGTACAAGATAACCTATGAAGTATGTGCACCAACACGCTCTTGCTAAAAGTTTGTTTTTAATGGCCTACTTTTTACATCAGTTTTCATTAGTCTAGGGGAAGAATAGAACTGGAGATAGGGGCACTGGAATCCCCATGTGATGATTGTATCAACAGAGTTGATGCAATGCTGTCACATTTGGTAAAGTATGACTGAATGTAATAAAATATATCTCAAGACAATACATCTTTTTTAAATTATAGTAAACTTTTTTTTTTTGTATTTAAAACATTTTTTATTGAGTCAATTTACATAAGCACTTTACGTAGTTACAAATGTACATGTATGTGTACCAAAAAAAATTACATTGCACAACAAGTACAAAGTCTTCACAAAAATATTACAATTTTTTCAGGAATTCATGCTGATATGCTGGGTCGTTGCTACAATTTTCATAAATTTTCCCCATTTTTTTAAATGTTTTCCCAATTTACCTTTTCTGTTTGCAATCAAGTACTCAGTTTTCTGTACCCTCTGCAC